CCTGGGCGTGGGGCAGAGGGTCCGCATCCTCTTCTATGCCCTGTTCCCACAGGATGGCTGTGGTGCCAACGACTCACAGCCCACCTTCAAGATCCTGACAGAGAACGTCGTGTGTGGGAAGTCAGGCGTCACCTGCTCGCGGGCTGTCACGGTCCTCCTGGGGGTGAGTGTGTGGGGTCTCCCCAACTTCCTGGGGGTCCAGGGCCTGGCCGCTCTGGGCCTTTGCCACCCTCTGCCTAGGCCTTCTAGTCCCCACAGGGGCAGCAGTGTCCCCCGGAGACGGACAGCCACGCAGAGAGGAGGGATTCTGCCACAAGCCCCCTCCCAGCCCTCGGGACAGTTTCCAGGGCGTTCTGAAACCCGCCAAAGGCAGGCTCTAGCGGGAGGCCCCCAGCCCAGAGCGAGCTGAGCCGTGGAGCACTCAGACGGCAAGGCAGAGCCCAGCGGCATTCAGTGGCCGCCCAGGACCTGGACGGGCAGCTGGTGACGGCCGCGCCCCACAGGGCCTGTCCATCGTGCTGGCAGACAGGAACTACACGGTCAGCGGGGAGGACCCCGGCGTGCGCTTCCAGGTGAAGGCCGGCTCCTTGTACCTGGTGCTGGATGCCACCGTCGGCACTGCCTACAACCTGACCCTCATCTGGAACAAGCACATGACCCTCTTCATCAAGATCGCACGTGCCTCCCAGGTATCTGCCGCCCCCTCCCCGCGGCCGGGATTGAGGGCTGTGCCGCCCACTGACAGCCGCCCCCGCAGGACGCCCTATGTGGCCTGTGCGGCAACTACAACGGGAACATGAAGGACGACTTCGAGACCCGAAGCAAGTATGTGGCATCCAGCGAGCTAGAGTTTGTGAACTCCTGGAAGGAGAGCCCGCTGTGCGGGGACGCCACGCGGGCCGTGGACCCCTGCAGCCTCAACACCTTCCGCCGCTCCTGGGCCGAGCGCAAGTGCGCCATCATCAATAGCCAGACCTTCGCCGCCTGCCACAGCCAGGTGAGCCCTGCACACCCGGCCTGGTGTGGGCCTCGCCTCGCGGCAGCGTGGCTCCAGACCCAGCGGTCAGGAGAGCGGTCCTAAGGACCAAGCACAGACCCCACCCGGGCCACGAGCGCCCCGCGTGTGGGCGGCCGACTCTGAGGGCCGGCTCCCCCAGGTGTACCGCCTGCCCTACTACGAGGCCTGCGTGCGTGACACGTGTGGGTGTGACACCGGCGGAGACTGCGAGTGCCTGTGCGACGCCGTGGCCGCCTACGCCAAGGCCTGCGTGGACAAGGGCGTGTGCGTGGACTGGAGGTCCCCAGACTTCTGCCGTGAGTGTCCCACTCCTGCCCACAGGCCGCCCAGGGGCCAGGCGGGCGGCGGGCTGTGCCCCCCAGAGAGACTCCCCAGGGGGACCCTGAGCCTTCCGGGCCCACGTGCGGGCTCCCTGGCTGGCCCTGCCAGCTGATGGTGCCCTTCCTCCCAGCTGTCTACTGCGACTTCTACAACACCCACGTGCAGGTGGGCGGCGAGTACCAGTACGTCCACGAGGCTAACTGTACGTGGCACTACCAGCCATGCCTCTGCCCCACGTGGCCGCAGGGCTTCCCGGGCACCAACATCGAAGGTACTGGTGCAGAGGAGATAGGAAGGGGCAACAGACTGGAGTCATCAGGACCCCAGCGGGCGGGAGCTGCAGCGGAAGGACGGAGAGGGGAGGGACCAGGCCTGGGGAATGGGGCTTCCGGCTGCAGGCACTGAGGTCCCGCCGCGCTCTGCACCCCCACCCCCAGGCTGCTACAACTGCTCTCAGGACGAGTACTTCGACCAAGATGAAGGAACATGTGTGCCGTGCAGTAAGCTCGGGACTGCCTGACAGCCCCCCAGGGCCGCCCAGCTCTGGCACAGAGCTCCCAGCCCGCCAGCACCTCCACTCCCCAGGGCTCTGCCCTGGGTGCTGAGACTCCCAGAGACTAGGACTGCCAGAGACAGGGGAAAGGACTGAGCCCCCTCCCCTTCCCCTCTTCCCAAACATCCACTCCCCCAGTCTCCAGCTTCAGGGCAGACCCGGGCCCTGCCAGCCTGCTGGGGTGTATGCGTGCAGAGCAGGGGTCTCCTTGGAATTCAGCAACAGGTGGCCTGGTGGGCGATGGACACCACCTGCAGCTACCTTCAGGCTACAGCCCTGGCTGGCCCCTCCACTCCCCGGCAGGCCCATCAATGCAGAGGTAGGGCAATGGGGAGGAGGGGAGCAGGGATTAGGGGTCCAGGCACTTCTGCAGTAGCTCCATCTCTCTGGTTCTCCGCTTCTGGGGACACACCTGAAGGCCCTGAAGGGCCCAGGCAGGTGGGGGCAGGGAGCAGGGCAGGGGGAAGGGCACCGCTCCTGACCACCCCTCCTCTTGCAGTGCCGCCGCCTACCACGCCGCTGCCCACAACAGGTGATTGCATACATACTAGGTGCCAAGGTGAAGCAGGCTCTCCCCCCAGGGCTCTTCCCTGTTCTGCTGGACAGCCCCCAGCCAGCCCAGCCTGTGGCCGTCAGCCCAGTGGGAGCAGCAGCCGGGCCAGCGGGTGTGGGGCAGGGCAAGGAGCGTACCTGGGCTGTCCCTGGGGCTGCAGTGCCTGCGGGAACGGCCACTGCTGACCAGAAAGCCAGACACGGGGGGCACGGCAGGACCCACGGTGGCCCTGCTGCAGAGCCACTGAGCACGGCAGTGCACAGAGACGCCAGCCTGCCCTGCTGGGACTCAAGCTGCCCTCTCAGGGCCACTAGCTCACTGCCTCCTGCCCAGCCCATGTGGCCTGGGGCCCAACAGGCTAGAGAGGGGTTCCTCCCAAAGGCTGTGCTGGGCCAGCCCCTCACCCCACACTAACAGCACAACTACCCGACTCAGGCCTTCCTGCCACGGCCACCAGGCCCACCACGACCATGCCCAGCACCATCGGTCTCAACTCCACTAGACCCTCGTCAAGCTCCCCAGACACACCTGAGGCCCCCATCCAGACCTCCAGCCTCCCATCCACACCAGTGGCCACAGCCAGAGCCACAGCCCTCTCCTCCATACACACAGGGACAGCCCCCACCACCCAGAAAGAGCCAACACTCTCTGAGGGAGGTAAGGCCCCAAGGTAGAGCTGCACTGTGGGAGAGGGGCCCTGCAAGAGCAAGGACGGGGTCACAGGGGATGTTCCGGATACTGTTCCCTGCAGTGTCACCCAGAACCACCTCTGCTATCACCACACGGGCCACATCGGCGCCAGCACCAACAGCAAGTGCAAGGACAACAGCCACAGGACCCACAGTGACCCAGGCCACAACGCAGCCCACAGCCTCCTCCATCAGTGCAGCCACACAGTCCACAGCACAGTCCACAGTGCGCACAACAGCACTGCCAGCCCCAGCGACGTCAGGGACCTCCACAGGGCCGCCCTCGAGTAAGCACGTGCCCACTCTGGGTCCCTGCAGGGGTCGTGGCAGAGCAGCCCCAACACCCAGCCTAAGCTGTCTGGGGATGCATGGCAAACACACAGGCTGGGCTCGGCCCAACAGAGGGGGACAGCTCTTCTCCACAAGCATGCCCCTCGCACACACCTCCAGCACCACTACAGCCCAGGCGGCCCACGGGCCCCGGAGGCGGGGCGAGGGCTGCCAACAACACGTTACCCAAGTGCAGGCCCCAGCGCTCAGCCTGGGCCACAAAACTCTGGTCCCCCAGACCCAAGGCAAGAACGGAAGCCGTGTCCCCAGGTCAGTGGCCGGGGTAACATTAGGGAAGGATGCCCTGAGAATCAGGCTGAGGGGACAACAGCCACCCAGGACTGCAGGAAGGGGCCCCGAAAATCACCACTACCATGTGACATGCAACAAGGAATGAGACAGAATGACTAGGGGGGCCACGGGAAATGCGAGTCATCCAGGAAAGTCCGAGACCCTCCAAGTACAGCCAAAAGCGAAAAGTGAGAAGGAGACAACAAAGGTGAGGATGGCCCACAGGGCAGAGCGCACCGCAGCGAGACACGGATCTCACGAACACTGTTTCTACAGGGTCCTCGACCCACGGATGGACCAGCGAAACAGCCAACACCTGGGACACACGACACACAGAACGCCCGAAACCAGAAGACAGCACGACAGGCCAAACACCACCGCACACCAACCTGATAACCACATCGACGACACCCAGGGCGGACACACTTACGAGCCCCAACAAGCAGCCGCCATCGCAGGCGCCAACACGCACGGCCACGCCCACACACAATGTCACACCCACTGGACGACACACGTCGCACACCACCCACTTG